GGATTCGAACCCGCCACCTTAGGTGTATGTGGCTGGCGCCTTAGCCGCTTGAGCCACAGGCACCGAGCCAATGCCTGGCTATTTTTAGAGATAAGGTCTCACTCTGGTTCAGGCTGGTCTAGCACCTGTGAGCTCAGACAATTTACCCACCTTGGCCCCCAAATGCTGGGATCATAGGTGACTCTTTTTTCTTTGAATCCAACACTAATACCTTTTGTTAGAGCAACTGGGCCGAAGTAGTTTGTCTCCATGACCCTCTTGTCGACATCCACTGTGGTGTCCATGATGGCACCACGGTAGCTGATCCCAGCGTTGTTGATGAGTATGTCCACATGGCCAAAGCACTGCAAGATCTCTGCTGCTGCTCCAACTATGGTCCCAGGTTCTGCGAGGTCAAAGGTCACTATGTAAGGCTTGTGTGTCTGCACCTGGTCAAATACAATGGATACCAAACACACCTCTGAGTAACAGGCCCTGTGAGCTAAGGTATCCTCCAGATACTTAGGCTCAACTCAATAATGTAACTTTATACTACAAAAGGAACTAGAAAAAGAATAGCATACTAACTAACCCAAAGCCAGCAGAAGAGGGAAATAATAAGGGTTAGAACAGAAGTAAATAAAACAGAAAACAGAAAAACAGTAGGGAAAACCAATAAAACCAAAAGGTGGTTCTTTGAAAAGATCAACAAAATTGAGACCAGGCACAGTGGCTCATACCTAGCACTCAGGGAGGCCGAGGCAGTGGATTGCTTGAGCTCACGAGTTCAAGACCAGCCTGAGTAAAAGCGAGACCCCATCTCTACTAAAAACAGAAAAACTGAGGGAAGAGGATTGCTTGGGCCCAAGAGTTGGAAGTTGTTGTGCGCTATGATGCCAGGGTACTCTACCTGGGGTGATAGCTTGAGACTCTGTCTCAAAATAAAAAAAAAAAAAAAGAAAAAAGGGGAAGGAAATGAAGAAAGAAAAGAAAGAAAAACACACAGATAACATAATGGTGAAAGACTAAAAGCTTTTCCCCTAAGATCAGGAATAAGCCAAAAATTCTTCCTTTCGGAGTTGCAATTTTATTTTTAGAGACCATGTTTCCCCCCAAATAAGACACTGTCTTAACATTTATTTTTTCTCAAGAAGACACACTAGGGCTTATTTTCAGGGGATGTCTTATTTTTATTAAGCATAATACAACAATCTACATTTATTCAAATACAGTTAAGTCTTCTTCTTCTGGAACCTGACAGAGGGAGCCAACCTTGTTGGTGGGGCTGGCGCTAGTGATGCATGAACTCCTTTCCCCTAGCCATTCGCACACGCACAATAGGATGCCTGCGACTGTGGTTACTACATGCGCACCCGTGCAAGTGCGAACAGCTCGGTGAAAGGAGCTGTGGCAGATAAAAGGTATTCCAGTCTTTCTTACTGCTCCGCTCCGAAATCCATGGCATGGCTATGTAGTGTATCTGCATAGCCCCATCACTAGGTCTTCTTATGGGGGTAGGGCTTATATTTAACAAATGCATAGAAATCCTGCTAGGGCTTATTTTGGGGGTAGGTCTTATTTTCTAGGAAACATGGTACAAGCGGATTTAAAGCAACTAAAGTTAAGAAAGACAAAGGTGTGGCTCGGCACCTGTGGCTCAAGCAGCTAAGGCGCCAGCCACATACACCTAA